CTATCTGAATAGAGATTAAAGGGTTCTTGATAGATTTCAAGAGTTTTTTTATGACAGCATAAAGTTCAGCCCTCTGGACAGATTTTGTCTTATAGGACAACTGAATGACATTTTTATGTTGTTTATGCAGATAGACAATGGCAATGTGCCCGTCTTTGCTGGCGTCCGGAAATATGATGGGAGCGTCTCTAATCGGTTGACTTGAAATTGGAGAGACAAATATAGTAGGAATGATGGAGAGTCCCTGAAGGAGTTTGTCATTGGGAAGATGAAAAAAAGAAATTGACCAGGAAAATTTGCCATAGATGTTTGCCATTCCAGGGAGGTTTGATATGCATCCTCTACCACTGAGGCGGTTAAAAGAGGAGGACATACAATACTCTGAGGCTCATGTCCAAATAATTGGATGCATCTCTTCCTTCCCCTAGCAATTAATAAAGATATAAGGAAAATCGTTGGGTTGATGACATGCAAAACATGCATAGCTAAATGGAGCCATTCCAAAGGCCCATGGATTTGCCATAACACTGCCATAGGGAGAGCATCAGGTTTTAAGATTATTAAGTTAACATTCTTTGTCAAATCTCTTTGTTGGAGCTGCGCAGAGGAAATTTTATTTGCTACTAAAGCCAAGGTATCCTCTGCTTCTGGAGTAAGCTGTCTCAAAGATGAAGGGGGGAGTCCCCTTTTAAAATAGAAAAAAGGGGCTGTAACTGAGAAGTGGTGAGAGACAGCGAAGGGCAGAGCCAATTTATATCACCTAATAATTTTTGGAAGTCATTTAAAGTTTTTAATTGCGAGGTTCTAACTGCGATTTTCTGTGGCCTAATACTCTGTTTACTTACTAATAAGATATCCTAAATACTCAAAGGGAGCTTCTCTCTGTACCTTCTCAGGAGCTATTTGAAGTCCAGCAGAGCTAAGACATTGGGAAAGAACCCGAAAGGCGTTAGCCAGGTGTTCACTGGGCTCTCTGCTGCCAGTAATAGGTCATCCATATAATGAATACAATATACCTCAGGGAATCGTTTCCTGAAAGGGATTATAGCTCTTTTTTACATATTCTTGACACAAGGTGGGACTGTTAACCATTCCCTGAGGTAAAACAGTCCATTCGTATCGATAGTAGGGTTCTTGCAAATTTGTAGAGGGCAAAGAAAATGCAAAATGCTCCCCATCACCAGGGGCTAAAGATATGGTAAAGAAGCAATCCTTTAGGTCTAGAACCAACATCTGAAAATTTAGCGGAATGGCAGAGGGAGAAGGGAGGCCAGGCTGTAGGGTCCCCATGGGAAATATTACCCGGTTGACTGCTCTTAGGTCTTGTAAAAGCCCGCCATTTTCCTGTTTTCTTTTTAATGACAAAAATAGGGGTGTTCCATGGGCTAGTAGAGGGTTTTAAATGGCCGAGGTTTAATTGTTCTTGTATCAAGATCTCAGCAGCCTCTCTTTTTTCTTTCACTAAGGGCCATTGATCTACCCAAACAGGAGTGGAAGTTTTCCATTTGAGAGGCAATGCATGGGGAGGATTCAATGGCCCTGGGAAAACCCAAACCTTGTCGGGCCGGATTAGGAATGGGGGCTATAAAGGCTGGGTCCCCTTGCAAATTTTTACCTAAACCTTTTCCAGGCTGATATCCATGCTGTATCAATTGATTAAAAGACCAATCATTGGAAAGGGAGAGATTCATCATTTGAGACAAAACATCTCTGCCCCATAAATTTAATTCTATATCTAATATAAAGGGCTGAAATACTCCTTGTGAATCATTCGTCAAATCTCTCCATGTAAGTAAATCAGAAACTTTGTTCAGGGGAGGAGGCAAAGCCTACCCCTCGAATAGGTACATCAACTGTCTTTTTGGGCCAGGTTTTAGGCCAAATTATGATTAGATACGACTGAAACATCTGCCCCAGTGTCCAAAAGGCCCGGAAAAACCTTTCCGTTTATTTCCAGGTTAAAAAGAGGTTTATCAGGAGAAATCATTTTGGTCCAATATATATTGGTGGATCCGAAACCTTTATCTCCTCGCTCCCCAGTAAGCGCTTGATTAGAGGTTTTTATTATAGGGAGCAATATTAGTTGAGCAATAGGCATCCCAGGTTCCAGAGAGAGAGTACCAGTCTTCAGGGATGCCAAAATATTAATTTCACCCGTATAGTCAGGGTCAATAACACCTGGATAAACAATTAAACCTTTCATGGTGGAACTAGAACGCCCAAGGAGTAATCCAAAAGTTTCCTTAGGCAGCGGCCCCCATATGCCTGTAGGAATTTTTCTAGGTAATTGGCCTCCCTCCAAATAGTGAGTATGAACAGGAGCTAAATCTAATCGTGCACTGGCGGGGGTACCGCGGGATAATCTGTCAATTCGAGGGAGGTCATCGGTGTTGGAGACGGGAGTGATGTTTGTCGGGGAAAGAGGGCCCGCTATTGTTTTTTGGCACCGCGGCAAGCCCCCCTTCCAGTTTCCCGAGAGGGATTCCCGTTAGAGTCAGTGTTTGATCTACATTCATTAGCCCAATGATATCCTCTGTGGCATCTAGGCAAAGGTTTTGAGGTTTTTTTTTGTAGTTTGAGAAAGTCTTTTTTTCTGAGGCATTGATTTTTAAAAATGCCCCAATTGGCCACATAAGAAGCATTTTTGATTTATTTTCATGTTTGGGTTCTTATTTTGTTTTAGTATCTGAGCATGCAATTTTGCAGGAGGGATGCCTTTAAAAGCAGCAGCCAAGGTGACTCCTTGCAAATACGAGGGCCCTATATCTGCGCAAAGGCACACACATAATCTTCAAGAGTTCCCTGATTCTTCCAAGGTCTTATGGCTGCTTGACAGGCGGCATTAGCATTCTCAATAGGCCAATTGTTTAACTCTTAAAGTGCCAGCTTCCGCATCGGTGACTATTCTACTGACTGCGGTTAACAATCTGGCCACAAAATCAGAATAATTTTCCTCGGGACCTTGCCTGATTTTTGACAGTTCCTGTGACCTTGTATTTGTGGTCGGTAGCTTTTTCCATGCTGACAGAGAACAACTATTAATTTGGGTATAAGCTACTTCAGGAAAGTCCAATTGCAAGCCTACGTCATAATACGGACCAGAACCAGTTAACATGTTGTAATCAACAGGAATGTTAGTTTCCCCTATTGTAGCTGGCCTGTTTTTTCGGCATTTTCAGAGAAACTGCGTTTTCCATAACAAATTGTCCCCCGGGGAGAGGCATGCTTGTGCAATGACCCTCCAATCTCCAGGATAAAACATAACGCTTCTCGTGTCAAATTGTCTAACATAGATAGAGTAAAAGGCGCTGTAGGCCATACTGAGTACATGCTTGTTTCAAGTCCTTTAGTACTTTGAAGCTTAAGGCAGTGTGTGCTCTCTGTCCCCCCTGCACAGTAACAGGAAATAACTGAAACTCAGATACATCTTCTCCCCTCTGTGAGGCTTGAAATAGAGTTCTTTGTAATGGAGTAACTCCTTTTATTGGGTTAGATTCGTGTGATCAGACACAGGAAAAAGGCTTTGAGGAGCCTTCTCAGTTTGCACAGTGGAGGAGTGTAATAAAGGTGGGGGAGGAGGTTCAGCATGATTTAAAACAAAAACCTCCTCCCTTCTATCTTTAAGGTGGGGACCATCAAACGGATCCGCTTCTTCATCATCTATTCTAAGGGATAGTTTATGTAAAGGGGGAGTATGGATTTTTTGATTTTTTAAGCTCCCCCCCAATCGAGGGTGGAGACTCTTTTTCACTTTTAGAGTTCAAGGAGATGATCTCAATAGAGTCTGTAGGATCCAGAACCTCCTTTATACCATTCCACGTAGTCCATATATCAGGAGGCAATTGTTCCCCTCTTATTTTTAATTCATTTTTTAGAGTCTGTCCAACTCTCTGCCAATCCGAAAGATCCACCGAGCCCTGATCAGGAAACCAGGGGCATATTATTCTAACTGTATCAAAGAACTTATCCAAAGAGTTATGAGAAACCTTAAACCCCTTCTCCCTTAAAAGAGCCTGTAGAACTTTTAAAAAATACCCATGTTCTACAGATTGCCTTTGTCCCATGATTATTTTACTCCTATCGTTCACGGAGCCGCCGTGATCCCCTTACCTGTAACGTAAACACTTCTTCTTTCACTCTGTCTCGGGTCCCTGTTCGGGCGCCACTTGTCGCGGCCGGCGCGAGAAGGTCCGGATTCAGGGACCGAGGGCAAGGGGATGAGAAAGAAACAAGAGACTAAAAGTTCATGGGATAGGAGGTTCCATGCAGCTGATGGCCACAGTGGACAAGCTTTATTTTTGCATGTAGAGTTTATATAGCGTCCGTAAGCAGGCGGCCTATTTCTTTAAGGAGAAGTACGTCTCTCGCGCACAAACATACATTGTTTTTAAAACTCACACCTGTTACTTGTTTCAGCAAAGGAGCAGGAAGGCCACATTTAGACTAAACAGTGAGGTTTGTTTATTAAGTAACGTCTGCCAAGGCGGTCATGTGTCAGGCCACCTCCTTGCTTACTTTATGGGAACTTGTCTCGATGACATTTTAAAGGAGAAGCAAATATGTACTTTTACTTCCATAAGGGGGAAGAGCTAGGTGCAGTCCCAGCGGGTTGGCCAGGTACGACAAGGAGCCTTTGCTCAACCCGGAACCCTGCCTCGCACCGCGGGACTGCGGTTGGTTGGCCAGGGACAGCAGGGAGCTTTGGCTCAACTTGGAACCCTGCCTCGCACCGCGGGACCGCTCCCAACACTTAATCACACCTGCAAAAGTCCTATATGCCCTTGTAAGGGACTGCACTTACAGGTTCTAGATATTAGGAGGCAGACGTCTCTCTGGGTGGCTGTTATTCTACTTACCATAAATATAACTTTGAAACATTTGGCTTCTGAAGGACCTTCGTTTATGATGTGGCACTTCTCCTTCTTCAAAACTCTCAGCTGTCACCCCAAACTGCTTTCCTTGTGGGAGTTGCAGCTTATCTTTCATAATTTAAGGAATATCTTTTATTTAGGGCTCCAGTATAGGGTTCATGGTACTTGAGATTCAAATTCAGGAGCTCTAGATCTGAGACCCTTGAGGGAGGGATACTTAGGTCTTGAAAATGACCTCAATTCTGGGAGTCTGTACTGAAACTCAGAGATGTTTGAGCCAAAGTTCAGACAACAGGAGGCAATGGTAATCTGGAGCACAGTTTTCACTGTAGTCTCAAGAAAAATGAAAAACCAGAAGTGGACTTGGCCATACACTTAACCTTGGCTTCAAAAAGGAAGGAAGATCATGTGAAACTTGTACATTAATTGCTCAACTCAGAGGCCGAAGTCCTACTGATTTTGCATCTAACAGTGCCCTTCCCCATTCCAACAGGATTAAGGCAAAGAGCAAAATAAGAGCAAGTTAGAAATAAATAATAGTTAAAAGGCAAGTCCACAGAATCTTCACCAGGTAACATTGAAAGTCTTCAGGTTTTGTTGTTGTTGTTGTTGTTGTTGTTGTTGTTGTTGTTGTTGTTTAGTCTTCAGGTTATACAAACAGGTTAATACTCTCTTCCCTTTGTTCTTCCTTTGTGCTCCCTAATAAGGAATGATGGGTCAGTCTTCTCTCAGCCTTCACCTACACTCAAAGGAAAGGGAAAAGTTACCAAATTTGGATGTTATCGGGGAAGAACATAGAAATATGGTTCTCCTTAGTGATTTACTCTACAGGATTAATTATTTGAATCACAAGCTTTGTTATCAAAACATTGATGCAAATCCCGACGCCAATATCCTTCTTTAATCTGCTCCTTGTTTGTACAATCTAGGTACCCAGTAACTGCCTGACTTGGGACTGAGTCATCCTCTGCCCAAGCCAGGTAGCAGCGGTCACACCTGTGACGTTCAGGCATGTTGTTGGTAAGAGCAATCAGCACAATATATAGTTTCCAGCGGAAATGTCCGGTGACAGAGCACCATGGCTTCTGACAAAGGTAAACTGGACCCAGATTCTGGCAAACTCTCTATTCTTGAAAAGGCAAAAAACTGTGTGTGTGTGTGTGTGTGTGTGTGTGTGTGCGCGCGCGCGCGCGCGCTAGCGCGTCTCCTGCCTGTACTTTTGTCCTTAGGCATTTTTCAACTTTTCTATTTCTTAATATATATTATTATTATTATTATTATTCTTAAACAAGGTTTATTATTATTAATACTAACTTTTCACATCCACAAATGATTTTGATCAAATGACACCCAAATCAACAATGCTTATTTCACCATAATATAAAATAAAGTAAAAAATATAACTGTTAATATATATGTATAACTGTTAAATAACAGTTTAAAATAGCAACAGAAATGAAAGAACAAGCTCATATTCATTGATAATTTAAGATTCAGTTACTTAATGTTGGAGAAATTCGTGGGAGAGAGAGGACACTTCAGGATGTAGAAGGAAATGATTTTCAGCTGAAGTGAGATTTGAGCTGGGTCCTAAAAGGGTTTCAGAATTTGGTTTGGCAAAAAAGAAGAGAGTCTTGACTGATACAAAGAGCTTGAGAGAATTTATAAAGATCATGTGTGGAAATAAAAAGAATAAACTGGTTTTGGCTCAGATTGTGATCTCAGGATTGTGAGATTAAGCCCTGCATTGGGCTCTGTGTTCAGCTGGGAGTCTCTGCTTAAGGATTCTCTCTCTGCATTTCCCCACCACACTGTCTCTCTCTCTCAAATAAATAAATAAAAATATAAAAATATAAAAGAAAGAAAGAGGAGTTTCTGGGTGGGTTGGTGCTTGGGTGTCTGCCTTTGGCTCAGGGCATAATCCCGGGATCGAGTTCTGCATTTGGGCCCGCTTCTCCCTCTGTCTATGTCTCTGCCTCTCTGTGTGTCTCTCATGAATAAATAAATAAAATCTTTAAAGAAAAAAAGAGAAATCTTTAAAGAAAGAAAGATTTCAAAGAAAGAGAGAAAGAAAGAAAACAAACCTGGAGTGATATTATAGATGGCTTTTGAGTGCCAAGCTAAGGGAATTGAGCTTGATCTTTTTAGAGAAAATTTTTGGAGAATTTGTGAATAGCATAGCCATGACTAAAATAGTGCTTTATTTTTTATTTTCTTTTTTTTTTTTTAGAGAGGGTGAGGGCGTGAGGGGCAGAGAGGGAGAGGGAAAGAGAGTCTTAAGCAGGCTCCATACCCAGCATGGAGCCCAACATGAAGCTCCATCTTACAATCCTGAGATCACAACCTGAGCCAAAATCAACAGTTGAACTCTTAAGCAGGTGCCCCTAAAATAGTGCTTTAGACATATACTTAGCTGGCATTTGGCGCCTTTGTGACGGCAAGCAGAAAAGACTTGGAAGCAAAGAGACCCATTAGGAGACTTTTTGGGAATACGAGCATGATGATAGCAGAGGATATATATATATATATATATATCAGTCTTAGATTTTAATAACAATATATTTTTTACTCCATTATGCTTTTTTTCTACTAAAATTCTCTCGTGTGTGTTGGGGGGGAAAGACTAAAAGCATTATTTATTAAGTGTCTGGGTAATATCCCTGGCTTTCCTCTGAAGATGGTCTGTTTTTTCCTCTCAAACCATCCCAACTCATCATGTGACTGCTATTATTACCTTGCATCAAAAGGGGTATAGATTGAAAAAAATATATCTCTTTTTCTTTCTTTTTTTTTTTTTTCTTCTTTTATAAGATTTTATTTATTTATTTGACAGAGAGCAATAGCACAAGCAGAGAGCAGCAGCAGCAGGCAGAGGGAGAGGGAGAAGCAGGCTCCCTGATGAGCAAGGAGCCCTATGGTGGGCTTGCTCCCAGGACCCTGACATCATGACCTGAGCTGAAGGCAGCAGACACTTAACTGAGCCAAGAGGTGCCACCCTCTCTCTCCTCTCTCTCTCTCTCTCTCTCTCTCTTTTCTTTAAGATTTTATTCATTATTATGAGAGAGAGAGAGAGAGAGAGAGAGAGAGAACACAAGCAGTGGGGGGGACAGAGGGAGAGAGAGAGAGAAGCAGACTCTCTACTGAGCAGGGAGCCTGATGTGGGGCTCGATCCTGGAGGGATTTTGACCTGAGCCAAAAGGCAGACACTTAACTGAATGAGCCACTCAGTTCCCCTATCTCATTCTTTCTTCCTGAAGTTCTCACTGCTGCTTCACCCAGAGTGCTCCCACCATCAATATGACTTCTTCTATAGGTATGGCCTCTGTTTCTACAAGGCTCCCTTTGAGTGGACCTGCTGCTTCAAAGGCCCCAATTTGGATTGTCTGAGATGTATCCATTCTAAGATATTAGCCACCTTCTTCTTCCTCCATCTCAGTGCTTAAATTCCCTGTACATCCTCTTAAGGATAAGAGGTTTACTCTTCAGGTCACACTTAGGATAGTGTTTCATGACTCTGTCCTTTTTCTAGATATCTGGTTAACTTCTCTTTTTATTTTTTTTTTTTTTTAATTTTTAATTTTTTTAAAGATTTATCTATTATTTATGATAGAGAGAGAGGAGAGAGAGAGAGAGAGAGAGAGAGAGAGAGAGAGCAGAGACACAGGAGGAGGGAGAAGCAGGCTCCATGCCAGAAGCCCGATGCGGGACTCGATTCCGGGACTCCAGGATCGTGCCCTGGGCCAAAGGCAGGCACTAAACTGCTGAGCCACCCAGGGATCCTCTAATTTCTCTTTTTAAAGGTCTCACACTCCAGAGACACCTGGGTGGCTCAGTCGATTAAGTGACTGACTCTTGATCTTAGGGTTGTGGGATCCAGACCTCTCTCACCTACAACATTGGGCTCCATGCTGGACTTGCAGTCTGCTTAAGATTCTCGCTCTCTCTCTAAAAAAAAAAAAAAGACAAGACAAGAGAAGAAAAAAAGAAAAGAAAAATGTCCCACACTCTAGCTAGAATTATAGCTCCCCTCTGGGTAACCTCTCTACTATCTAGTACAAATGCACAGAGAGTGGCCACACACATACGCAGAACTGAGGAGGAAAAAACTTTTCCTTTACCCTCCTAGATTCTGTTTTGGGGCTCCTGCAGATTTAAACTACCAAAAGACAGATTAGCAAAAGAAAAGACAAAATCATGTACAAGAGTTCACAAAAAAGGGACTCAAAAAGGTGGTTAGTGTTTAGGGCTTGTATACCATCTTCATAGGAAAGCAGAGAGTCAGAAGAGCACTTATGGGAACACAAATAAACTTTTAGGAAATAGAGATGGGCCCTTTAGAGAATAGATAGCCATATGATAATTTTGTGACAATGTCTGTGTGGGCGTGTATCTTGAGTGGTAAGAGACAATCTCCTCTGGTTGTTCCAGAGAATGGGATTTATGACAATTGATTTCTTTTGAGTTTTTTTTGAAAGCCTCTGCTTGTAGGAAAATAAGGGATTTCAGGGCAAGGCAGTCTCTTTTAAAATGTTTTCAAATCCAAATTATTTTTGTGCCTAAGTGGCACATTCTGGACACCTCAACACGTGCATGTGCACCTACACACACACACACACACACACACACACACACACACACACAGAAAGCCTTGGGCAAAAATACCTCCTATTTTGGAGGAAGTGTCTTCCAGGTCTTATGACTCTTCTTGGCTTAAAAACATCACCACAGGGGCACCTGGGTGGCTCAGTCGGTTAAGTGTCTGCCTTTGGCTCAGCTCCTGATCCCAGGGGCCTAGGATCGAGCCCCGCATTGGGCTCTTTACCCAGTGGGGAGTCTCTCCTCCTTCCCCCCTCCTGCTTGTGCTCTCTCTTTTTCAAAAAAAAATACATAAAATCTTAAAACAAAACCAAACAAAACACCACGTCAGAGTTAAGGTTTGCCAGGAGGATAGACTGAATGTCCTGCCTGCAGCTCAGCATAGCCACATCACCTTCAGAGGTGGCAGTGATGTATGTACCTCTCTGGCCCACTGAGGAAGGGTATCATGTAGGGGGAACCATCTGCTCTGTGTCTCCTCTTTCTTGGAAAAGAGACTGGTGGGATGCCTCGGTGCTCAGCAGTTGGGCATCTGCCTTCAGCTCAGGGCGTGATCCTGGAGTCCCAGGATAGAGTCCCACATCAGGCTCCCCACAGGGAGCCTACTCCTCCCTCTGCCTTTCTCTCTCTGTGCCTCTCATGAATAAATAAATAAGATCTTTAAAAAGAGAGAGAGAGACTGGTAATAATGACAATTGAGCCTTTTGATTTATTGGTCCTTTTATCCCATTTCCACAAATTTTATCTTTCAAATAACCAGGGAGCACTTACCATGAGTTCTCGTTGAAAAAAAAAAAAATCCATGGGCTTCCAAATTAAAAAAAAAAAAATGACTCGCATTTCTGTTCTCAAAGTTTTAGTATTCTGTGCTGTGAATACTGTGAATTCAGGCGAGGCCAGTGCTCATTTTATCTCTCCAAAGCTCCGTTTTGAGAGGCATGGGCCTCTACAATCCAGGACTTGAACTTGAATCATCCTTATATGCTCTCATGGTTCCCAGGACACTTTGAGAATACAATCTGTGGCTTAGAATATAAACTCCACATAAAGATAGGGATTTGCTTTGGTGCCTGTTCCTGTCCTTCAAAGGCCTACATTTCATAGGCCTGTCATCAACATTTGTTGAAAGGATGGGGCGCCTGGGTGGTTCAGTTAGTTGAGCTTCCAACTGTTGATTTTGGCTCAGGTCTTGATCTCGGCTCAGGTCTCGATCTTAGGGTTGTGAGATTAAGCCCCGAGTCAGGCTCCATGCTGGGTGCAGAGCCTGCTTACGATTCTCTCTCTCTCCTTCTGTTCCTCCACCCCCTCTAGAAACAATAACAACAACAACAATGAAAACCTAAAAAAACTAAACAAAATCCCAAAAAACATTTGTTGAAAGCTTAAATAAGTGAAACCCCCACTTTCCCTACACAGACTATAGTTTGCCAGGTTTCAGGGGTGACTTACCTGCTGGGCTCTTCTTGGCCATTCTTGATGTCATGGCCCTATATGACAGCAAAAGGTTGGGCACAGGAACCAAACAGGGCTCTCGGCTGTTCCATGGAGTCTTTTGACTAAAGGAGGATCAGGATTATCTCCATTCCCTGAAACCTTGTGCACTGGGATCTCAGATGACTGGTCATGGCCATGTTGACTCAACTTTTACTTCCTGGCTCCCAATTCCCCTGTTAACATTATTGTTCTTTTCTTTCCCTAAGGGCACTGGTTGTTGCTTCTTGCTCTTCCTCCTTCTTTGTTAGCATGATTCAGAGGGAGAGTTTGTCACCCTTGAGATCCTCTGTGCAGCAGCATTTTGTGGTCAATGCCTTCAGTACCTGCTGGGCTCCAGGTGAAGCCTGGTTCTCTTCTATTGGTTCAGTAATATCTTTCTGTGTGTTCTCTGCAAATGTTTTTTCACTCCTGTCACTTATGCAGATGCTTTTTCTCATTCCTCTTGATTTGTGGTTAAATAGGCTCTATCTATGCTCATGACCCTGAGATCAAGAGTCTCATGCTCTACCCACTGAGCTAGTCAGGTGCCCCCAAAGTACACATGTGGTGCCACAACTTCTCTCCACATTACCAAATACTCTTTCCTGAAAATTGTTACTTTGAGGGCACCTGGGTGGCTCAGTTGGTTAAGCATCTGCCTTTGGCTCAGGTCATGATCCTGGGATTCTGGGATCCTGGGATCCTGGGGTCAAGCCCCACATCAGGCTTCCTGCTCAGTGAGAGTAGAGAGCCTGCTTCTCCCTCTCCCTCTGCCCCCTCCCCCACTTGTGCTGTCTCTCTCCCTCTCTCTTTCTCTCAAATAAATAAATAAAATCTTTTAAAAATAAATAAATACATTGTTATTTTGAGATAATCATAGTTTAAAACATGCAGCCTTAGGAAATAATAAGAGAGATTCCTTATACACTGCTCAGTTCCCCCCAGTGGTTACATCTTGCAAACTATAGAGTAAGATCACCACCATGATATTAACATTGATACAATCCACCAATTTTATTCAGATTTCCCCAGTTTCATTATAGTCTTTTTTGTGTGTGTGTTTAGTTTTATACAATTTTGTCACCTGTATAGTTTTGTGTATCCACAACCACGGTCATATTTGAATGTTCCAACAGTACAGAGACCTCTCATTGCCCTTTTATAACCAAACCCTCCTTCTTCTTGCCCTACCCCTGTTCTTAATTCTTGGGAATCACTGATCTGTCCTCACGTCTAAAATTTTGTCATTTCAAAATGTTATATAAGTGGAATCATACAGAATGGAACCTTATGAGATTGCTCCTCCCTCCTCTAGCATAATTCCTTGGAGATTCATCCAAGTTCTTACATGTATCAATGGTTTGTTCCTTTTATTGCTGGGTAGTATTCCATGGTATAGCCATACCTCAGATCGTTTAACCATTCACCTACTGAAGGTCATCTGGGTTGGTTCCAGTTTTTAATATTACACAACAAGCTCATATGAACATTTGTGTACAGCAGATCAAGACCCAAGGTGAGATCAAGAGTCTGACACTCAACTGACTGAGCCACCGAGGTGTCTTGAAAGAGTACTTCTAGAATCAAGGACTGGAAATGACAAACATCACTTCTGATTCAGTTCTACTAAGCATGAAGCAGAAAACAGAAGGAAGCGTCATGTGGCTTCACTCAATCTTAAGGAGAAAAGACGAAAAAGAAACATGGGTCCAGGGAAAAAGAAGAGGAGAAAAGAAGGGAAAATATTGGAGTTTTGGTGAACTCATAAAGTGCCTGCCACATGAGGGGTGGGAGAAGGGGAGGAAAGGGGGAGGGGGGGAGGGAAACTAGGGAAATGGGACAAGATTATGCATTTTAGCCAGTGGTCAGAAACATGAACACCAATGGTAACTAAATAAAAGCCAGTTTGTGCTTTTTTAAAAAATTATTTAATTCAAAAAAATTTTTTTGTTTGGGCATCACATTTCCCAGAAATATGCCAGTAAATCCAACATCTCGCCCAACTTTTCTAAGGGAGGGGACCGCTCCAGGGGGCTCAAGCGGTTACAACCAGGCCCTCTGCTCCGGGTCATGATCCTGGAGACCCAGGATCGAGTCCCACTCGGGATACCTGCGTGGAGGCCTGCTTTTCTCTCTGACCTCTCTCTCTTCAGTGTCTATCATGTGTATAAATAAAGTAAAAATCTTAAAATAGGGAATAAAACAAAACTTTCCTCATGCAGTCTAGACTGGCTCATACTTGCTTTGCTTGTCCCTCCTGGGTTAGCTTGGGAATGTACCTCGAGTTTTTGGGTGTGTTGTCGTGGGGGGGGGCCTATAAATAATGAGGGGCCTGGGCAATTTCTTTTTTATAGATTTTATTTATTTTATTCATGAGAGAGCCAATGGCATGGACAACTCAACTGCTGAGCCACTCAGGCATCCCGAGGTGGGAGACTTATGGAAATGTCCATGATGAAATTATATATGCATTTTTTTATTTTATTTAATTTTATTTTTATTTTTTTAATTTTTTATTTATTTATTGAGTAAGTCACACAAGAGAGGAGAGAGATGGAGAGGCAGAGACCACGGCAGTGGGAGATGCTGGCTCCATGCACCAGGGAGCCCGATTGTGGGATTCGATCCAGTTTCCTAGGTTCACGCCCTGGGCCAAAGGCAGGCGGCCCCACCTACAAAACGCTGGCTTTCGTTGAAAATGATTGTTTTGTAACTCCAAGGAGTTACATATATGCATTTTTTTTAATTATAAATTTTTTTTTTTATTTTTTATTTCTTTATTAGAGAAAGGGAAAGAGAGTGAAAGTGAGGAAAGACATAGAGTGCAACCTGGGGGAGAGGGGGGGAGGAGAAGAGGAGAGAAGTGAGAGAGAAAAGGAGAAAATTCTAGCAGTTTCTGCTGAGCTTGGAGCCCAGAATGGGGATGGATTCCTATGATCCCTGAGATCATGGACCTGAGCTAAAAATCATGAATATAAATTCAAAATTTTTATAAACTCTTTATTTATTTATTTATTTTATTAATAATATTTTTATTTATAGTTACTCATAGAAAACACAGAGTGAATGAGAGGCGAAGGTGGAACACAGGCGAGGGACAGAAAGGGGAAGAGAGTAAGAAAAAGAGATAGAAGAGAAGGAAGAGAAGAGAAGTGGAGGAAGAGGTAAGGAATAGAAGCAGGCTCCATGCAGAGCAGAAGGTGGCCTGAAGGTGGGACTCAATCCAGGGTTCTCCAGGATCAATTTATGCCTGGGCTGGTAAGCGGACCAAACCGATGCGTTATGGGGGCCCTGCCAAAATAATATCTTTAAAATGAAATAATAGTTTATTTTTAAGTCATTTCTATGCCAATGTGGAGCTTGATTAATCACTCTGAGCATCAAGAGTTCATATCCTCTACTGAGCCAGCCAGCCACCCTGCCTTTTGATCTTGTATTATTTAATATTTTTCCCTTCTATAGGTTCCCTCACCACGAAGTCAATTACCTTTTGTCATTTTTAATTCCGTGCTTTAATAGTTTTTGCTAGGGGACAGACCTGGGTTGGCCTCAGTTTGTTTTGTGCTTCTGCCTTCTGGCATCTGGTCATGATCCCAGGGGGTCCTGGGGAGGCGGGGCATCCTGCTGGGTGGCCTGCGTCTCTCTGTCCCGCGCGCTTTCCTCTCTCTTCCCCCTCTGTGTGGTCTATCATGAATAAAAATAATACAAAATCTTTCAAAAAATAAATGTTTTTTGCTAATACTATGTGGGCGCCCTGGGTTGGTGACTCTGTTGATTCTTTATGGCTCGTGGTATTTTCTGGTTCACGACTTTTTTTTGAGTGGGGGAGTACTGGTGGGGCTCAATGCCCTGCACGGTAGAATAGGGTGGAGGGAGATCCACGCCGACCTCGGGCTTCCCACCAAATCACTAACCCGGATAGAGCAGCGCTAACGCCCGTCATTATTTTAAAATAAAAAAAAGTTCCTGCCTCTAACTTGGATTGGAAACCTGGCTGGGTTTCAGTCAATAGAGTAAGTGATTCTGATCTAGGGGGTGTGGTTGTTTTCTTTTTTTTTGGGCAGGGTGTGTGAGGGGGGGGGGGGTGGATGATTTCATGCCTGTCACTTGTTGAGTTTACCTTAAAATTAAAAATCCTTTAAAAATGGTTGTTTTGTGTTTTATTTGATTTGGGAAGTTGTGGTTTATGGATAAGTCATTTAAAGTTGTTGATTAATAAGTAACACAAGAAATTACATGGACAAAAGTTTTTGATCTTTATGGGGGAAGGATGGGTAATGTCTTTTTTTTAAAACTCTTATTTGACCAAATATCATTTTATAGTATGGATACACCTATGACTCATCTACATTTGTTCTGAAGGAATAATTAAGTTTAATTGTCCTTTTAGTTTTTTTTCTCTGAGGTCAATTATATCTTTGTTTTCTTTTTTTGATATCTCTCAATCTTGCTCAATATATACTCATTCTGGTTCGTTTTTTTTTTTTCTGTCCCGTGTGTCTGACACCTTTTCACATCCACTTCTCTCATCCAATATTTTTCCCTGTTACTGTTCCTTCATCTCACCATTTTACCTTATGCAAAATCCACTTGACTTGCTCACTCATCTTTATTTCCACAGTGACTAGGTCTGTGGCAAATATATGGATCCTCCCTGTCTATACAAGCATATTCATTAGGAAAAAAAAAACCCAATAATTTGAAAACTCACTAAAAGGCGACATGAGAGGAGGTACAAAGGAACACACCTGTATGTCAGAAAACACATAAAAGATGTTCATGTCAGCTCTGTCCACATTAAACACTGTAAACCTTTGATTCAGTATATGTACACTCGTCTTGGGCCTAATTTAATCATCTATAAATTTTAGGTGAATCATGGCTTCTAAGGGAAAAAGATTTAAGATGATATTAGGAGCTTAAGGAAAGGGGTAAGATTGAAAATGTCAGAAACTCTCTATTTCTCTCTACGCCATTTAGTCATCTATTGCTGTTTAATATATTACCCCAAAACCTTGTGGCTGTGTCAAGTCACACTTTCAGTTTTTGTGGCAAGAGAACTTGGGAGTGGCCTAGGTGGGGTGGTTCTTGGTGTGGGTTTTGAATTTGGACTTGTTCGTTAGCATTGTTTTGAGATCTGCTCATGTGTCAATCATTTGCCTATATTTTGTTAAATATATTTTCAATTCACAGGGCTACTGGGTGTTGACTCAGTTTATGGTGAAGCAATCAGACTCTTGATTTTCATGCTCAGGTCAAATCTCAGTGAGGGTTGTTCGAGATTGAGCCCTGCCTTGCTCAGGCTTCTCATGGCTTCATTCTGCCCTATTTAAGATTCTTTTCTCTCTCTTAGGGCTACTTAGGATGTTCAGTGGTTGAACTTCTCCCTATGGTTTTGGTTTGTTTGTGATCTGTGGGTCCTGGGATTTGAGTCCAGCATCAGGCTCCCACTGGGAAGCCTGCTTCTCCTCGGACCTATGGCGCGGCCTTGCTTTCGGTGTCGCGCATGGTTTTTTGTATTGGTATATGCGGTTTTTTTTTGTTGGCGCGCGCTCGCCATCCTTGCCTCACGTTTCTCTTCCTTCTCTTCCTTTTTAACAAAAATAAAATTACATCAATTTCTGAGGGAAGTAGAGTTGTATTTCCAGTTTTTTTAAAATTTCCTTGCTTGATTTATAGAAAATGGATTTAGTTATCGGATTAATTTTCTATTTGTCCATGGCGGGGGGGGTGGGGGGGGGTTGGTGGGGGGGGAGGGGGGGGGGGCGGGGGGGGGGGGGGGGGGGGGGGGGGGGGAGTGGTGTTTGATCCAGAGACTGTCATACTCAACCTTGGGGGAACTTTTGCCAGAGTGTATTAATAGGAAATTACTCAAGTTTGTTTTTTTTTCCGACAAGAATGGGGGCCTTTGAACGTGAATTTTTGTTGTGAGACAGGAATAATATTTGTCCTGCTTAAGGAAAATTTCAAGCAGAGAAGAGAGGAAAGAAAAAAAAAAATTCCCTAGGGGTTCCCAGGGTAATAGTAGTGACTCAGTAAGTAATTACACTATAGTTTTGGGCATTGATTGTCTGTGGTACCAGGAGTTGATGAAGGATTGTATCTAAGAAAAATCGTGAACTTCCAGTTTTCCCACATTTTGCCAACACTGGGTAATGGAAAAACAGTCTCCTAGGAATTGTCTGTTATTATCCATTGCCTATTTTCTCTTTTGGTTTTTGTCATCTCTCCTCTATTAATTTGTAAGAGAGCTTTGTACTTAGAGAAAACATCCATTTCTGTGATATGTATTT